GCAGGCCCATGTGGAGCATGGTCACCAGCTGTCTGGTCTCCCCTGTCCATCCAGAGCCCAGGCTAGGACTCCTCTGCACGCCCCCGACCCCTCCACACACCATCTTCATCTAAATAGCCCGTTTTATTCTTCCTCAGACTAACACAGCTGCAGAAGGGTGGGCTAAGGAAGGGGTGAACGGGACAGCTGCCGAGGTGGGGGTGTGTCTCAGGGCTCCCGGAGGGCAGAGATTTGGAGCGGGAGGGGCAGAGGGGAGAAGAGTGATGGCCCAAGCTGCTGGATCCCTGGGCTTAGAGTCTAGAAAGTGCAAAATTGAGCTCTATTTTGAGCAGAAGGGACTGGTCCATGGTAGGCTATGAACACATTTTTGTACTGAATTGAGATTTTGCTTAGAAAAGCAAAACATCTTTACCTTCTCTTAGGTACCCTGTGATCTAAGAAAGGCACTGCTTTTGCAGAATGTGTGCAGGGGGGTACCTCATCGCTTACAAAGCATGTGACTCCTCCCCCACCACCACCTCAGTCACGCTGGCCTCCTTCCTGTTCCTTCAGTAAATCGATTCTTTTTCATACTCAGGACTGTCATTCTTTGCTTCTGCTCCTTGCAAGATGCTTCTTTCTCATTCTTCTGCTCTCAGCTCAAATTTCATTTCCTTGGAGAGGTCTCCTAGGACCTTCAGTTCCTCTCCACTGCTTCAGCCTATTGCATTTTCTTCTTACATAATATGCATTGGAATCCAGAATTACCTTATTTACTTCCTCATTATCTGACTTTCTCTCTAGACACTAAGCTCCATGAGGGCAGGGACTTTCTCATGCTTGTGCTGTACGCCTAGGCCTAGCAAATTGCCTGGGTCATGCTGAATGCTTGATAAATAGATATCGAATAAATAATTTAATTAGTTAACAGAAATATGGAATGAGAACTTGGGGGCTTATGCCTGGGATGATCGAAGACCAGGTTTGGGTACCAGTGGTTGAACAGTGCAATACTGTTGGTT